TTTGGGGTGGGCCGTGCTCCCTTTGGGAGCCTCCCCTACTCCTTCCTACGCGCCTGGGTTTACCAGAGATCTGTTTCATGTGAATCTATCCAGAGTTTATTAAAGGAACATACCAGTCAAAGATAACACCGAAAATAACCGTTTATTTTTAACATCGAAAACTAAAATTGGTACACTCGAAGTACCTTAAAGCAAGCACCACTCGCCTCCGGGATCGATCTAAGGGTACCTGCAAGTAAACATACATCGGCCGTTACTTGGCATACGCTCAACGTCTAATAACATCATAATTCATCTTGTACTCGTCTGTTTCGCTCGAGTTTCATTAATATATTATTTGGCAGGCTTTTTACCAAACAAACGAAAAAAACAAACAAACGAGACCGGCTCGCTTCTGTTACCGAAAATAGAGCCAATTAGACGACTCCGAAATAGACATTTGGCGTCGCGAGTGATCAGTTTTGAGAAATCGTTATTTGGGGATACGTACCTTCAAGCAGACTGGTCATATTTTTGTACATTTTTTACGATATTATAAGCGATATAAAAATAAAAATATTCATGCACACCATAAGGGCATTCTTAAAAGTTTCAAAAACTTTTAGAAAATCAAAACGTTATTTAAAGATAACCTGTAGGCCAAGAAAATAAGCTGGGAAATGACCATTTCGAGACTTTTTGTTGCGGCAAACTGAATTTATCACTATAGATGCTAAATATTATGTACAATAACATATTAGTTTCCATAGTCGTAAAAATGGGGGGAAGATTGTTTACATTGCTTAATTGTATAACTTTTACGTAAATTCACGTTTTTCGCTTATAACTTTTTCCGTTCATTTCCACGAGGAAACAGTAAAGTACTTTTTCTTTCGTCTTCAAAAGACCTACAAAACTGGTTCTCGAGCGTCAAAACATATTAATTAGATCAAAAGTTATAAACAGAAGTTTATTTATGACTTTTGAATTAAACATTTATAAACTGCGTTATTATTACCAGAACGTTTTGGCATCGCATCTTCTCATTTTCCCGGCAGAACAAAAAAAATAGATCTTATACAAACGAAGGTCACGACCAAACTAGTATGCAGACACGGTAAAGGCGGTAATAAAGATGTTTCACGCTACACAGCTGTCGGTCGTACGACTTTGGCGCATGCGTATTACGCATCAGTCTCATTACATTATAGCCACACCTTGTTTTTATAATGTTGTGATTTTTTGTAATATTTATTATTTCTAATGTGTATTTGCTTGATTTGCCATAAAAAAAGAGCGAAACAGGACATGTGCACTGTATTTTGCATATGTTAATATGACTTTTTTTTCGTAAAATAATATAAAGAATTACCATCTGAAATATTTTAGACTACTTATAAACTCTGTATAATATTATTTAGTATCAAAATTTAATGATAGTTTCATCCTGCAGCTAATTCATCATATATTTTTTTTCTGCAAAACAATATCGGAATATTTTTCTCGTTATTTGGACGTAGCTTCTAAAATGTTCAATTTTTCTGATGGACGCAATAAAACTTTTTACATTTCGTTCCATTCAAATATGTAAATACCAAAGGAACAATAAAACACAGAAAAATTTCTTGTTCAATTTTAGTTTCACTTAAAAGTTTTCATTAGGAAGACGGGTATCTTTTATTGTTTTAAGTTTCAAGAAAAAATATGGTGAACAAATATTTAAGCAAAATAATTAATTTTTCTGGATTTTTACTTTTACTTGTTCAATTAGTGGTTCTAAAAATGTTTCTTTTATTATTGTGGTAAGTCAGTGTAGGTATTAAAAATGTGTATCCTATTTGCAGAAAATATATTCTGTCAAATAAATACATATCCCGAATTTGTCAATAAAATACAATATGTATATTCAATTATTCATTTATTTATTTTATCTCCTTCAAAATAGGCTCTATCTGAATTAACTTTTTCCAACGAACATGCCAGTCATCAAAGCACTTTTTAAACGTATATTCCGGTGTGGACTTTAACTCTTTCAGCGATTTTTGTTTTGTGGCTTCTATCGACTCTAAGCGTGCGAGGTGGTATAGTCTTTCCGAAGGCAGTTGAACATGTATAAAAAAGCCCAACAATAAAATTTTATTTCTTATTATATGTTCATTTAACCAACATATTTTAATTATTTATGTCCTCAAACAATATTATATTATTGATGGTAAATTTCGTTTTGTTCCGTTTCAAAAGGTCTCCAAAATGCCATATTGTAATAATATTAGTAAACAAAGTATCCCTCTTATTTCTCCCTTTCGCAATTGCAAAATGAATAACTTAATAGAAAATGCCTATAATAAATTAAAATTACCTGAAACACACCAAATTTCGTATTGCTGCACTGCACTACTATGTCATTTGTTTCAACTGAATTTATGACCAGGTCGCCCAGTGCGGCTGTGTTTGTGCCGCCTTTGCCCGCGCGTTCATTATTCAATTGGGCGACCAGATCTGTATATGGGCATGGCTAAATAAATATGAGAACATTTTTTCAAATATTTCAATGCCGGGTTGCTGCGTCAGCGACCGAACCTGGTACATACTGCCAACCTCTTGGTTCTTCAATTGAGATCGGAAAGACTATAATTTGAGTTTGGGAAAGAGGAAAAAAGTCAGCAGGGGCCATATCCGGCGAATACGGTGACTTCTCGAGACATTCGTTGAGTTTATGGTTAAAAATTCATTCACAATTATCGCCTTGTGTGATGATGCTTTATTGTGGCGCAAAATCCAAGAATTATCTGGTCTTTTGCGGCGCATACTCTCCCTCAAATTCCTCATAACGACCAGATAATGTCCCTTGTTAACTGTTTCTCCATCCGGAAGGAATTCTGTGTGGACCAACACTACGATAGTCAAGGAAAACAGTCAACATGACTATGATTTTTGATCGACATTGACGTGCCACTAAATGGCCAACTATTTTTTAATGAGTGATTTTTCGTGAAATCAGCAAATTCAGCAACCTTAAAAATCTCTGTATATCCAGTTTCATTAATTTATTTTGAAGTCCCAAATTTTCAAATGCGAAATTTTTTTTATTCCGTAAAAAAAATTAGTATGCGTATATATAAAAAAATATCGATAGTACGACACACTAAAATTTGATGAGAGTTCGGATGAAATCTAAACGCTCTGTAAGTATATTTGTTTGTTTAAAAGTCAATTATACAGGCTGTCCCAGAATAACATGTACAACGGAAGACCATAGATTCGTGGACTTAAATAGGCAGATTTAGGCTAATTCGCCTATATCCAAAGTCGCTTCGTTTGGCCGCTAGATGGCCTCGAATTTCGTTAAAATTTTTTTAATTTTGTAAATAATTCGAATACGTATTATTTGATTTTGATTACTTTTGGGCTGTGACTTTTTGCTTTCAATCTACACATTTCGGTGTTATACAGAGTGTTTTTTAAAACTTACAACTCCTACAAAATTGATATATGGTGATAATATCCGTTAATAACTTTTTCCTCTTTCGGGCAATAACGACAACTATATTTTATTTGATGGGGATACCATTTGGAAGTTTTTAGGCCGCTTGTAGAATTTTGATTAAATGAGCAATTTGGGTACAAAAAATACTTTTAAATGTATACATTATCTTGCCACCCATATTACAATATTTAACAATGTGCTAGCAGCTTGGCTAATAGGTACGCTCTGATTTTGTAGGTTGACTGTAATTTCAGTTTGATCATGTTTGGGATAACATTATTACTGGCCCTGTTATTCTACCCAATAGACTGAATGGGGAATTTTATTTAGAAAAAAAAAACTCGAGTTATTGGAAGATGTGTCGTTATTACTCAGAGCTAACATGTTGGTTATGCATGATAGCGCTCCACCACAATTCACTGCAAATGTTCGGCAGTGTCTGAAGCAAAGATTCCCTCGTCGATAGATCGGTAGAGGGGAAAATGTTTCTGTTAACTGGCTTATACGTTTACCACACTTAACACCTTGCGACTATTATCTTTGGGGCACTCTGAAAACAACAGTGCATGATTTCACATCTAACACTGAACTGAGTTGTGGAGGCATATCCAAAATGCCATAAATGTTAAAAAAAAATAAGTCTTAAGAACTGCAAAGAGTGTTCTTTAACTTTCTTCACCGAATTAACGTTTGTTGTAGAAACAACGGTGGTCATTTTGAACAGTTTTTATAAGTTGTACTAATTTAATAACCTCAACTTTGTTACTTTTATCTCCACCATTTTTTATTTTATTTGATTGTTTTTACGAATTATTTCAATAAAATTAGGCACGTTGTAAATAACTCTAATTCGTCGTATGTGTCTATCCAAATTTAAAAATGAAGTAACATCGTCGTTAACACTCATTAAGAATTAAGATCAGATGACTTAAAGATCAAACTGAAATTACTTTTTTTTTGTACCCATACCGCTCATTTAAATAAAATTCTATAAGGGGCCCAACAACTTAGCCAACCAAATAGTATCATCTATCAAGTAAAAAATAGTTGTCATTATTGCTCGAATGAGGAAAAAGTTATGAACGGATATTATCACCATATATCAATTTTGTTGAAGTTTTAAAAAACACTCTGTATAACATCAAAATTTGTAGATTGAAAGCAAAAGTCCACACCCCAAAAATAATCAAAATCGGTTAATACATATTCGAGTTAGGAATTTACAAAATTCAAAAAAATTTCACTAACTTTGAGGCCATCTAGCGGCCAAACGAAGCGATTTTGGATATAGGTGAATTAGCCTAAATTTGCCTGTTTTGTGTCCACGAATCTGTGTTCTTCCGTTGTACACGTTATTCGGGGACATCCTGTATAAATCTATGAGGCCGAAATTTGAAAAAATAAAATTCATATTTTATAAATAACATTTATTTTATATTAATAACAAACATTTTACGTGTTTATAGAATGTCCGATAATATACACTAGTTTCCTGCGTCACCAGTTTATCTTTTGGTATTTTAGTGGAGTTTTTTTCTATTCTAAACGTCTATTTTGAATACCCAGTTAAACCCATCGTTAAAAATGTTAATTTTGCCATCAAAACCAATTTTTCGACGACTTAGTTACTTACAACGCCTGATATATGTATATAAAAAAAAAAAACAGTCCGCAGACACCTATTGGTACCACGGGAACCGCGCGCGCCTCCCACTCCCGTCCTATTAATAAACATTATTGTGTCAGGTACTCGGTACACACACACTCACGTACACACACAGACATTAACAATCGCGTAGGCACGTTCCAACGTGAGAGCTTAGCTTCAGCTGTTCTGGTACTCCTCCATCTGAGACAACTCTTCGAGGATGGTCTGCTGGAACTTACTCCGGACCCTCATCTTCTGCAAGTCGTTGAACTTCTTCATCGTGGGTAAAAGACTCATGAAGAAGTGATAGTCGTCGGATAGCTCGTCTAGGTTGTTACTGGATGACTGATCCCTGTCTTCCAGTCTTTGGTGTTTTGGGTTCACGGGGCTGTTGTTGGAAGTAGGTCTCTTGAGAGCCCTCATAAACGGTTTGGCATCGTCTGATACTTGGTCGTCGAAAATATCGATCTCCTCAGTTTCTACCTTGACGGAGATACTTTGCGAATCTTCGTTCGTTTGCGAAGAAGAACTATCGTCATTATCTCTGATGATAATTTGGTCTTTTAAGAAATGCAACAGGTTAAAGTAAGGCCATGTGGGTTCGTATCCCGATTTCGACATGCCATTCGGAAACTTCTTGAGCTCCTTCCGGAAGTGGTCACGGAGATACTTCCATTTATGCCTAACGTCCCTCACTACAAGCAAAGGAAAATCTGTATCAACGGGAATTTCATACAGTACCCTGGTGTACCCACCTGACGCCCTCATACTCTTGGATACCGCAGCCCACGACTTATCTAGGACTCCCCTATGATGATGTTGTGGATGTGACACGTCCCACAGGGCCCTGCGACTGTAAACTTCCGTTATGAGCCTCTCGCAATCCATTGCCCTGAAGCTACAATCCACGTCCGGACACTTCTAAGCACGAAATTTGACTGCTCCGCTGTGCTCTCTACTGGCAACGTAGCCTAGCACAGCGCTGGGGACGCTACGGAGAAGGGTGCGGCGCGCTCCGGTCGATCGAAATGCTTCGTAGTGGGCGAGGGAGACGCAGTCGGTTGGTAAAGCAGAGAGCTCAGTTCGGCTTTCCTTGTATGTGCGCTCGAACACAGACCTGGGCGAACGGCAAAACAATTTACGCAAAAAGATTCAGGCTTCACAGAAAGCGGTTTAAAGTTTTTAAAAGATGTTAACGGTTTTCGCGTTATATCAATTTATGAAGAGATTACCATGTATGCTTAAAGCTTATCTTACAATATACGCTGACGGAAAAGTAGACTATTATTTTAAGGTGTCCAGTTTTTCGGATCAGTTCCTATCCTGAAATAATTCAATTTAAAAAAAATAGGTATCACAACGTCTGCCAAAAACAGTGATTATAACAAAAGGTGGTCAATGTGTCAGGTTTTACTTGAAAATTCTAGCGAAGAACAGTCTATCTACACGTCATCAAGCTATTTGGAAGTAAATAAGAAAACCATATAAAAAATTAGATTTGATGGGGATGAATCTCTGGATTCTCCAAAATTTTGCTTTCAGGGTCTCGATGAATGTGCTTAAAGTACATTTTGTATAGAAAATGTAAATACTAATACTCTTAAATTACATAATTAAGTAAAAAAAAACGGAAAACTATCACAAAGAAAATGGATTATAAAAATGAAATGGAAAAAAAATTATGTATTTACAATTATTATAAATTTTCAGTATTTACCACTCAATACTTCTCGAAATTCAGGTATAAATTACGGCACTTTATCCCGCTTTCGTCTTCTATTTGGGAATTGGTATACTTAATAATGTCTGCTTTTACATGGTATTATACATATTGCAGAAAGTTCGTGGATGCTGAGAGATTATTCTCTACTGTTCTTAGAAAGCTATGGCAATCTCGGGAAACAACGAAATATGTGTAAACGGCCGCGTCAATGCGCAGGCGAGTTTTTAGAGTATGGAGAAGAGCTTTACTGTATTTTAATTCCTATAATATTTCAATTTCCTACTTTTGTGTAACCCATTTTAATTAAATAATAATACAATCTGTCAAACAATAAAAGTGTTGTCATGACATTAATTGTCTCTGTCAAGGCCTATCATACAGGGTGTATCACGAAGAGGGCCCAGTAGGATTATCTTAAAAAGTAGTCAGAATTGAAATCTGAAAATTTGTATACAAGGATTTATCAAAAAGATCTATCCAATAAAAATAGTGTCAACTTCCTCGCACTTTCGGTTATACCGGAAGCCGTCATCAGCTCTGTTATTTCCGAGGTTATTTCGATTGGAACACCATGTATATTTATGCATTTTTTAATTTTAAAATCTAGACTAATTTCATATAAGGTACTATGGACCAAAATGTGACAGTTTTCAAGTTATTAATTTTCGAAAAAAATTGAGGGATGTAAATCATTTTTGAAAATAGAATAACTCCGACATTTTACTTTATTTAGTAATGAAATTTGGCACGGATAATTTAAAAGCAATGGAATTCAACCAGTTTCATTCATATAGAATGTTTAAAAACTTGTGACCAATATTGTGACGTTGAAGTTGGATTTAATCAAAACTTTCAAATGGTACACCCTGTATATTATTACAGTAATGGATGCACAATTAAAATTACATTAAAATGATACTACAGTTCCCTATACCCAAAATTAATAGTTCTTGTGTAAATTGGAAATTATTGATTTCAACAGAGAAAAATCTACGAGTATGGTGGGTTTATTTAAAGCATCGCCCTTTTTAATTTAATATACCGAATTATTGTTTTTGATGAGGGTATAACGATAATAAATATTACAGTTCATTAATCAGACACCGTTTATTATTCAATTCTTTAGTGCATCAAATCCACCGTACATTTTTCTGTTTTATTATAGGAATTAAAATAGAGTAAGTTATTATCCATACTCTATTTTTATTCCTAATAATATTTCAATTTTCTACTTCTGTATAACCCATTTTAATTAAATAAAAACTGTCAATCAATAACAATGTTATCATGACACTACTACCTGTCACTGTCACGGCCTACCATATAACATTCTCCATGAGTAATTAGGCCACTCACGAACTAATTAGTGAGATTTAGTTAAAATACCTATCATTGTCCGATATGTCAAAATATATTACAACTAAATCTGTAAATCCTTACATAATTGGAAAAAAGGCTAAAATGTCTAAAAGAGTCTAAAGATGTCTAAAACACATGTCTTATTTTCTTAATAAAAAACCTTCTTTCTTTTCGTTTTTTTTATAGTATCCCGCTTATTATCAGATGAACCCAACAAACCCTATATTACTATGCTCGACAGGAAACGTTCTATCCAAATATGTAAAAATATACAGGGTGTTCCGTTTAAATTAACAAAGTTAACATACGGGGCCATTTTGTTAACTTAAAAATCGTGCAACATTTGTTTTTCACATTTTTCTCTAAAAACAAAAAAATGGGGGAGAGTCAAAATATAGTAAATCACCCTGTACATGCTTCATAAACGTATTTGTGGAGATATATAATAATAATAATAATAANCAGCTGTCACTAAAACTACCCCTTTAATGTCGATCGGCGAAAAATATACTACTTATTTATAATTTGATCGGTTCACGGCGATGTCGAGCCTCGATGCCTCGAAACGAGCTATACCAGCCGTGGGATAGGCAAACGGCATCCGACAGCGAGCTAGGAATAAACAATGTAACGCTGTCCGACCACGAAGAAAAAAAAACCGCTTATTTATCTTCGAGTTCCAACACTATCTGCTGTAAATCAAAATCGCATTGTGTATATGGATGTTGTTCGCTATTCTAAATATAGCTGTTCGTACGGCTCTGGAGGTGCCATGGGTTGTCTTTGTCGCGATCGACGATGAGGCTGTTGATTTTTTCGCGAATTCTTGGCCGCGCGTACCAGTCCATGTTAATTCGTTTTTTTTTCCGACATTAGCGAAAAATTAACTGTTACGATCGACGTTTCGACGATATTCGCTGTATTCGTCAGGACGGAACGAAAAGAACGTTCAAAACAGACATCCTCAGATCCGTCTCAAAAATTTGTAAAAAGTGGAAGAAAAATCAGACGATCTGGTGTTTTAGAAAGAGAAAAAAATACTTTAAGAGGAACTCCAAATTACAATTGACTTGTGTACGTTGGATCTTAACCTGAGGCTTCTAAAATCCTTGAAAGAAACCGACGACGGAATGGGATGGTTCAGGTCATTATCTAGGTACACAGGCCTTGTAGCACATACACACACAAACTTTGGCGGATAAGTCATTAAATGTCATTACGCGAAACTGATTAGGTAATATTATTCGTGGCGAATTAAGGCAATTTGCCATCATTGCAAAGCGTATCCTGTAGCGACGGGACGGACTTCCATCAATGGGCTCGGCCTTGGATGAAATTCGAAAGGAACATTCGGATGAAAAAAAAAAATGCTGGCAGTCGTTCGTTTCTGTTCCACTTTTTTCGCTGTGGAAATGATTTGTTTGCCGCAGGGTAAGAAAATACGGAACGCTGTATAGAAAAAATTTGATTGATAACACCACAAAATCGTAAAGCTTTGAGCAAGGCCCAGTTGATTAAAATCATTTAATTAGAATCCCTGATTTGAATCAACCAATTTTTAATCAGAAAAATAATGTTTTACCGAGAAAAAATATCTAATCGAGGAATTTGTGTTGTAAGAAGGAAATAAGTACATAATTTTGAAAAAATAAGATATCCGCAGATATGGGAGTGAAAATGTACTGTTTTCGTGGGTGTAATTTTGAAAAACTGTACTAATATTTCAATTGAACGGTCGCTTTGACAGACTTGAAAATTTCACTCCAGGAAACTCGTTCGAAACAGTTCGTAATGAGATGTTTTCAACAATCAAGTCAATGTATAGTGTTTCCGATCTCAATTGAAGACCAAAGAGCTAGGCAGTATGTACCAGGCATTGAAATATTTGAAAAACTCGTTCCCATATTTATCTAGCCATACCCATATACACGGTCTACCAACCGTGGGATTCGAAACCCGGGCAGATCGACACATCGATTTAAGTACTGACGCCTTAAACCGTGCGGCTATCGACCGTGTGGAGATAATTTGAGACTTCAATTTGCTCCCAAAAACAAAAATATATTTATACAGAACTTATGTCTGCACTAAATATTTTGCATGTTTGTAATTTCCGTTTGTTTTCTTGCAACTGTGACGTGTAATAGCACACGTTAAATGATAGTTATTTGTTTAAGAAGTCAGTAAAGCACAAGATTTAATGCCGCTGCTGTTATTTAAGAGACGAGGCGCAGCGGAGTCTATTAAAGCAGCCAAGGCATTAAATCTACTTTACTGCCAAATTAAATACATAATTTTTTCGCCGATCAATTTTAATTTTATTATAATAGGAAACAAAACAATTTATTTTATATTATTAAAATTGTATGATACTCTTTCAAGAATAATAATAATTTCATTAGGTATTAAGTTAATAACATAGGTACACAGTAATCGCCATATTGTTCCTAGTTAAATCCATAAAAATAACTATTTGTTGTCTGAGATGGAAGAATTCACATTAACTCCGCCAGAAACTATTGAATCAGCAAAGCAAATAGAGGGTAATTTATTACCAGAAAAATCGAAGAAGATGTATCAGCAAACATATAAAAAATTTGATTGATTACCAGGTTGAGAGTAACATTATGCATTTTTAAGAAACTATTAATATTGGTTATTTTTCTGAATTAGCAAAAGTATGAAATCTTCTTCATTATGGTCAATATATGCCTGCTGAATGTCTACAACAACGTTGACATTGGAAAGTATCTAAAATTTTAAGCATTCTTGAAACGGCAATCGGATGGATATCGTGCTAAAAAATCACGCGTTTTAGAAAATGAA